CTTGGCTGTAGGCAAATTGAAAGAGTTGGACTTGAAGGGTTGAATCGTCACTTGGATCTCTGGGTTGATTAAATTGGGGTCCACTAAGGAAGCATGGATAGCTGACACTTGTGCTCCGGTGTCCCTCCACGCGGTGACCTTCTTCCCGCCCACACTCACAGTTTCCCTCCGCTCCAAGGGTATCTGGGAGGTATCTGGGCCTGTGGACCTCTGGTGTGATTCCGGTGCAATGAACTGTAATCTGTTGGGGTTCTTGGGGCAGTTGGCCTTTACATGCCCCAGCTCGTTACACTTAAAACATTGTCCAGCTGACGGGTCACTGGGGCGAGGAGGGTTGCTGGAGAACGGGGTGGTGGGACGATAAGGGGTCTGGAGGGTTCTTTGGGAGGTAGGTGGGGCTTTGGGCGGCCCCCGGTAATAGGGTGTGGTCTGGGGTGGTCCCTTCTGGTCTCTGCTCCAACTGCGACCAGTTTTCTTCTTCTCTGCCACCTCCACCCATCTGGCTCCAATCTCTCCTGCCTCAATTACAGTTTTGGGTTTCCCATCTAGGATGTATCTTTCTATTTCCTCAGGAACACCCTCTAAGAATTGTTCCATTTGCATTAGGAAGGGCAAATTTACTGGAGATTCAACACTTGCTCCTGATATCCAGGCATCCCAATGTTTCACAATGTGGTAGGCATGTCGGGTAAATGACATGTCTGGTTTCCACCTTAGGGCTCTGAACCTCCGACGAGACTGCTCGGGAGTTATCCCCATTCTGACTCTCACCTTGGATTTAAACAGTTCATACTTGTTCATGTGTTCTTTAGGTATTTCATCTGCCACCTCAGCTAAGGGTCCACTGAGCTGCGGCCTCAGCTCTACCATATATTGGTCAGTAGAGATGTTGTACCCAAGGCAGGCCCTTTCGAACTTTTCTAAGAAGGCCTCAGTATCATCACCTGCCTTGTAGGTGGGGAACTTTCTGGGATGGGAAGTGGTACTTGGAGAAGGATTACTAGGGTTTGTTGGGATATTCTGCTGAGCCTTTATCTTCTCCATCTCCTCCACATACTTCCTCTCTTTTTCCTTCTCCTCCAGTTCTTTGTCCCTCGCTTCCATAGCTCTCCTGTGAGCAGCCACTTGGTGTTGTTCTGCCTCCCTTTCTTGTTCCTTCTTCAGCCACAGGAGTTCTATCTGTCTTTCATGTTCCCTTTGTCTTTCCTCAGCCTGAAATTTGGCTAATTCGAGCTGTAGTCGAGCCGCGGATTTTGCCATTCTAACCTCTCTGTTTTTAACTAACTTTACACCCGAGGTTTAGAAATAACAAACAAAACGTGGCTGTAAAATTTTGCTGTGCTGGAATAGAATACCTATTCTCTGATAGTGACTGTCAGCCTACAGAAAAAGACAATTCCCTTGTCTCTGCTCTGGGCCCAAATTAAAGCAAAAAACCTCCAACTACTTGGAAACCTGCTTACCCAGCCCAAAGAAAAAGCAAATGGGTAGAACACACACCCCCTATTTACTTTTAGGAAGAAAAGAAAAAAAAACCTCTGGGTTGGAAGACTGTGAATTTCCTTGCAGGAGTTAAGTACCCTGCCTCCAGGCAAAGAGAACCTGCAATTCACAAAGATAATCCCCTTTTGTCTCTGCTTGGCCACAAAGCAGAGAAAAACCAAGCTGCTTTCAGTTTCAAAGCTGCTTTCTGGACTTCCTTTCCAAAGGAACAAAAAATTCCTTTTTAAAATCTGTATTTCTAGTTAAAAAAAAATCTCAACTGGATCTCAAAATGATTTCAGGTTAATCCCACCACTATGCCACCATGTCAAGGTTCCTCCCCCACTCTGAACTCTAGGGTACAGATGTGGGGACCTGCATGAAAAAAACCTCCTAAGCTTATCTTTACCAGCTTAGGTCAAAACTTCCCCAAGGTACAAAATATTCCCCCCGTTGTCCTTAGACTGGCCGCTACCACCACCAAACTAATACTGGTTACTGGGGAAGAGCTGTTTGGACGCGTCTTTCCCCCCAAAATACTTCCCAAAACCCTGCACCCCACTTCCTGGACAAGGTTTGGTAAAAAGCCTCACCAATTTGCCTAGGTGACTACAGACCCAGACCCTTGGATCTTAAGAACAATGAACAATCCTCCCAACACTTACACCCCCCACTTTCCTGGGAAATGTTGGATAAAAAGCCTCACCAATTTGCATAGGTGACCACAGACCCAAACCCTTGGATCTGAGAACAATGAAAAAGCATTCAGTTTTTTACAAGAAGACTTTTAATAAAAAATAGAAGTAAATAGAAATAAAGAAATCCCCCCTGTAAAATCAGGATGGTAGATATCTTACAAGGTAATTAGATTCAAAAACATAGAGAACCCCTCTAGGCAAAACCTTAAGTTACAAAAAAGATACACAGACTGAAATAGTTATTCTATTCAGCACAATTCTTTTCTCAGCCATTTAAAGAAATCATAATCTAACACATACCTAGCTAGATTACTTACTAAAAGTTCTAAGACTCCATTCCTGTTCTGTCCCTGGCAAACGCAGCATACAGACAGACACAGACCCTTTGTTTCTCTCCCTCCTCCCAGCTTTTGAAAGTATCTTGTCTCCTCATTGGTCATTTTGGTCAGGTGCCAGCGAGGTTACCTTTAGCTTCTTAACCCTTTATAGGTGAGAGGAGCTTTCCCCTGGCCAGGAGGGATTTCAAAGGGGTTTATCCTTCCCTTTATATTTATGACAACCGTGCTGACCCTTCTTAGTATAAAAGGGAGGTTGCTGGCAGGATATCCTTCATGATCATGAGCTTTGGAAATCACTTCCAGATCTGTTATCCTTCAGGATATGCTGCAAGGCACTTTTCCTCCAGCCATTTGAGGAGAGGATGGGTTGAGAGTTGGAGAAGTTTTTACATTTGAGATTTTATTATAAAATTCAGCAATGTAACAGGTGGCCAGACTGTAGGATATGTGATTGTTTATAGTTTTATCAGTAGAATTAAAATACATCTATTCAACTGTAAATCATTAATAGAAAAAAATCACTGAAAGATTAAAAGAAATGAGTTTCAAGTAACTGACTGAGCATATGTAGAACAAAAGACAGCCCATTCCCATCTTTAAGACAAGGACACCTTTAATTTGTGTGTACTTTATGTATCTTTCATCAGTGTTAACTTTATAAAAATCAGACAAAAAATGTGGGAAGAGGTGACACATTTCCAGACATGAAGCTGAAGTAGAATATTTTGTTGTTGTTTTTTCAGAGAGTTTTGCATGTGCAATAATTTTATGCCAAAATTAACTTTAACTCATGCACAGTAAATGGGGGAGGGGGAAGTACCACTAGAAAATATTAGGCCCAATCTTAAAGATCTTACTCACAACTTGCTCAGGCAAAACCCCTTTTGTCCAGCCAGTCTAATGGAGGTGGGAGAAAAGGGTGATATTCCTTCCGTACACTAACATATATAACCTTTGAGGTGTTATCCATAGTTTCAGTTGGCACCCCATTGTGATGACGACTGTATCATACTGCATCTGGTTATTACAATCCTGTAACGTATTGTGGATCTGATACAGTTTGATTTTACTTAACCTACCACCTCATTAAAAATACCTTAAAAATAGTGTTGATAGCAGTGTAGATTAACTAGCAATAATTAGCCATATACATTTTTGTTAGAAAGTACTGTTAATGGAATAAATCCATATTTTTGTCTTCTTTTATGTTCTTTCTAATCACTGAAGCCAACAAAATAAATCCTTTCAGAGCTATGATAAAACTTGAAATGTTTCACTTTGCCAGAAGCCACTTTCCCACAGAAACTGTAATAAACAGCAATATGTGGCTTTATTGATGTAGTAAAATGATTGTTTGTACCCACATTTGCCATCATCTAGTGAAAAAAAATAATTTGTAGAGCTTAAGCCTCCATATAGAAGACCCCAAATTATCAAAGGGCTAGTTGTGAGAGGGTTGGTGCTGTGGACTTCAAAAAGAAAAAGAAAAGATTAAAAACCTTATTTATGAGTATTTTAATGTTTGAGAAACATGCCAGAGTAAAAGCTCTGGAGAATGAAGTCCACACCCCTGACCGACATAAGTTGCATAGACAAAAGTGCTGGTGTGGACAGCACTGTGTCAGCAGGAGAGGTTCTTCTGCCAACATAGCTAACATCACTTGTTGGGAGTGGTTTAACTATGACGGCAGGAGAGCTCTCTCTTGCTGGCAAAGAGTGGCTACATATGAGACCTTACAGCAGCACAGCTGAAGTGGTACAGCTGTCCCACTGTAATGTCCAGAGTGTAGACATAGTGTTAGTATAGGTTTGACAGCAGTTCTCTAAACTTTTCTTGGGTTTGATCCTTGTCTTTTGTTCCAGCTGCTGGTGTAGCTCCTGTTGGGATTCCCTCCGAGACCTCTTTCCACTTGGCTTCCCAAAAACTCAGTTAGACTCCAAACTTTGTCACTCAGGTATCTTTGTTTGACATACAGCATCTCTAAGATGAGCTGTTCAAGTTCAAATGTGGGGAGGGGTGTGTATGGATGCAGGGTACATCACAGCTCCAAAGTTACACAGAAACCATCTTCCTTTATATACATTACACATCTCATTGCATTTACTATACATTACATTATGAAGGATACCCTGCCAACAACCTCCCTTTTATGCTTAGAAGGTTCAGCACGGTAATCTTTGCTGATCCCATCTTCAGCAATATGGCATTTACTTGGTTCTCTTAAAAAAAGAAATCTGGGAGGCAGAAATGAGAGAAAATGCAGCATTAAGCTGCTGGATCAATGACTCAGGTCAGCAGAGCTGTGTTGTAAAGAAACCAGATGAAGTGTGGTTAGTGGTGGAAAACTGGGAAGGGGAAATAGAGAAATAACATTGATAGGTAATCATTGAATGCTGTATTTATTATTTTAAAGAGGGAAAGGAGCAGATTACTATGGAAGTCTTAGTGGACAAAAAGAAGGGATACATTTGGGAGACTTACCTTCTCTAGCAGTTGTCTAAGTTGTCTGCTTTTGGCGTCTCTTGAACATAAATTTTGCTCTGGTGCAACTACAGTACAAATGCATCGGCCATCTGGGTCTTGGGCTGAACTATACACTTGCCATCCTTCTTTGGGGCTAATTTGAGTCTATAGTAATAAAACAATAATAAGCAAATGCAAAGGGAGTGAAATAGCTGATATTCATGAATGACTTTTTGGTTTTTCAAATTCTTAAAACAAAATAGCTCTATGTAGACAGACAGACACACACACACGAATTAAACTTAAGAAAATATGCTTGCACAGTTACATACCATATGTGTTCACAATGATCTTCCTTTTAATTATCTTTTATTACCCCCTTAATGGATGATTGATAATTTTTCATTTTTCCAAAGTTTTCCATTATACCTGACTCCTTGTTAATAGTTATTTAGAAATATTTGACAGCCCTGCTTAATTATCATCATATTCAGTCTGGATGAGAACAGTTTTCTACTTATGATTCAACACAAGTTCATTGATTTCATTCTTTGTGGATAGGGTGTTATAGTTTTCCATGAACAAAGAACAAATATGTCCTTTCTTACTGGATGACTTTTACTTGAAAGAAAATAACAAGATAGAAAGGAACAAATATAAAGTCCCCATGAGAAAGCACAGTAACAGCATCCATGCTGACCAACTCTCAGGCCTAAAAACAAGTTAGAGAGGGCCCACTTTACTTTTAAAGGTGCAGTACACCAAAAACAGCCTTGCAGTTACATAGCTATAAACACCAATAGCAACAGAGAAGCCTCAGGGAAGTACAGCAAAGAATCTGTTTAGTTTAGATGAAAGGGAACAAATTTAGTCATTAAGACTGTAATGTATGCTGGAAATTCCTAGCACATTCTGCTTTCAGCAGTCATGGTAAAACTCAAAAATTCTCCTAGTCTTTTATGGTTTTTTTTTCAGTGGTGACCAACATCCCCAAGCTCTATCTGCCAGTTTCCCTAAATCTTTGAAAGATGATTGAAAGAGTTGGTTGACATGCATTTAACAAGATGTACAGAAATTTACAGAGGTCAAGATGAAAGAAGGAAATAAAAGAATCTTGACGATGAAGGAATTTCAGATGATAGAATTAAATCTGTTAATAGAATTAATGTTCTTGAGTATTGGTTTTAGAGATGACTAGTCAAGATAAAATTATGCATTCTTCTTTTTATATCTAACATATACAATTTTGGCTACTTGATTTCAAAGCTCAGAGGCTAATGGCTGCCACCAGAATAATTTCATTTTGGCACAGTGTATGTGAGCCACCAGTTATATTATAAAAACTTAGTTAACATCAGTGCAAACAGTAATTATTAAAACTGGCAAGCATTAATATTGATGCTTACTGGCCTAAGTACAGTCAGCTATTGCATAGTTCATCACTACAGGGCAGATACAGTATCTCTCTAGAATGAGTTTAGAATAAAAGGTGAAAGAGTATTCCCTGGTGATTCTTCTCTGCATGTCATCTTAATGCAAGAGAATAGAACCACCTCTTTTCTTCCAAAGGATTTCTGCTGGGGTCACTGAAGAAAGCAGTGACCTCTCCTTCTGTAGAGTTAATTGAAAGATCAAAACTGTAATATTCCCCTGTTTTGCTAGGAAAATAAAAGCCTATAATTTAAAGGGATGGTAAATGGAGGACAGCTGAACTTGCTTTAGGGTTTGCTAGAAAGACTTATCTAAGGTTCATTGCTAAATCATGCCAGTTTTATGATGTTCTTCTAACCTTTATTTTTTTAGGGCACAGGGAATCTAGTTGAACAGAGATGGTGAACAATAAAATCTAAACAAAATTACAGCTGCAGGGACAATTTAAACTGGTTTTGAATAGCAAGTAAAATTGTAAGCTTGAACAATTTATGCTTGTCGAAGCAGTTAACCCTTACAATGTTAGCTAATTTTAGGTTGGTGGCTTCTATGATTTTCCATAGTCCTCATACCCAGATATTGATGTCATGTAGCAGTACTGAAACCAAGTTTATGTCAAAGTTTAGGACTATCTGTAGAACCCAATGTTAGCTCCTATCCCTTCTGAGGCACAGGAATTCTTACCCCTAATGTACAGATACACTGCAATCTTTGAGCTTAATTGAGAGCTGATACTGGTATAACTCAGGAGTTACTCCATTCATGTTAATGAAGTTTCACCAGTGTAAAATGATGAGACACCAGAATCATGCCCAGTCTATAGTAAAAAGGATGTAATTCGGGTTGTATTGTCCAAACAGTGCTGTATATGTTCTGCTGAAACCACACATTTCAATCTCATTTCCTGACAAAAAGCATGTTTACCCAGGGACAAATTTCCTTACCATGTGGTGTTAGATGAAGAGACACTTGTACAATCATAAAACCATTTGCCATTCGATTTTTTAAAAATGAAGTGTTCTACACTTTTCAGAGTAGCAGGCGTATTAGTCTGTATCCACAAAAAGAACAGGAGTACTTGTGGCACCTTAGAGATTAAATAAATGAATAAATTGGCTAGTCTCTAAGGTGCCACAAGTACTCCTGTTCTTTTTGTTCTACACTTGTGATGTATATCTCACAATGAGAAACCCTCAGGCACATACTAGAAGTGCATTGTGATTGTTTATCCATGCTTACATGAATGATGATATATTACTCTACATTTAGGCTCCATTGCTTTACTGTATTCTGTTTTTCCAGGATTCTTTCATTCAGTAGGAAAGAAATTGCTGTCATGAGAGGGTATGGATGGAAGTATCTATCTATCTATCTATCTATCTCTGTGACTGTGAGTGTGATTTTTACACACATCTGCGCTTTTATTTTATTATTTTTTTGTTCTTTCTCATTTAATCCCACCCTCCAGCAGAAGTTGCTCTGCTTCCCAGAGAAGGCGCTAGAAGGCATCAACATCTTATGAAAGATGTTAAATCCAAACCCCAAATGCAGGCTTACCACTGACAGGTCTTAGTAAGCGGATGAGAAAAGAAATAACCAAGCCTCAAAGAGGAGAAACAAAAATATTCATGTTAGTTCTTAACAATCTTATGAAAAGAGAAAGGAGCCCCTGCAAAAGCTAATATTTCATGTTATCTTGGAATAAAGGCAGCTGTGCTATAGAATTCCAGTACTCAGGTCCAAAAGGTTTCTTTTTCCTTTACACTACCAGATATTTCAATAAGAATATTATAGCTGTGTTCATTGTCACCACTGTCTGGGCAAATGCATGTCATTGAAATACATATAATTCCTATGACTAGTTGTGTATAAACATTATGGGCCAGATTTTCTTCTGGTATAACTCCACTGACTTCAACAGTTATTCCAGCAGAGAATTTGGTCCTATCTTTCCCCTTTTATAATAGTCTTTTTCAGCTCAGGTGAAAAGAAATCATTAAATATACAGGAGATGAGGAGTTTTTGTTCCTGTCTCTCTTGTATAAAATGTACAATTTTTCAAATTTTGTGTGGAAAGTTTTATACATAACAAGATTCAGTTTGAACTGCCGATTGCTCATGAATGTATGTTGGTGGATTTCTGAAGATATGTTGGCAATATATGCGCAGGTGTCAAGGGTTAGTACTGAATTCACGGCATATAGGGCCTTATCTCATAATGCCGTATTTTAGAAATTACATGCCATAGAAATAAGAAGATGGATAACAAGATGGAAAAAGCAGAAGAAATTCTCTTGACTATGATATGCTACAGAATATGATTTTTTTCCACCTATGAATGTTACAAGGCTGTTCTGCTTTGGATATAAGGCTTTTATTCCTGTGTGCTAGCTTCACTGACACTTCTATTACCTCACAGCTCACTAAAGCATGAAACAAGCATGGTTGCTCCATCTTAATAAGAGCAAGCAGTGTTGTTAAAAATAATGACAATGCATACATGATATGGTCCAGAGCCTCAGTGGGTTTAAAATCAACAGAACTTCACTGAAGTCAAGGGAGATGTCAATTTACACTAGCTCAGGATCTGATCCTGCAAATAAATGTGTGTGTGTGTGTGTCTCCCCGTCAACTAGTCAAGCACAAATGTATACTTGGATGAAGGAACCCATCTGACTTGTGGGTGTCGGTAGGAATTAGAGACATGCCCCATATAGTTCAGTGTGAAAATTAGTTATATTTTAAGAAAAATTCAGGATTTCCCCATTCCCCCATAACATGGTGTTGTACTAAAACAAAAACTCATTTCTTTAGGATAACAATACAATGAATTTAAAAGTAACAGTATTAAAAACTTTGTATGCAATATTTTTTTCCTACCCACATACAATCAGATAATTAAATATTGATCAGTTAATTAATCACTTTTAGCTACAACTGAAATTCAGTTCTGAGAATAGTAAGCTGTTCTACTCTGATTTCATTTACACTGAAATTACACAGATAGGATTTCTCAAATATTTGGTAGAATACATTTTGTTCCAACTCCATTTGCTCTTCTACAAATGCTACTGTAAAGGTCCTTGAGTTCACCTGTCCGATTGAAATATGAATCTAATTTTTAGATTACATGTAGAAATTCAGAGAAAGCATTAATAACACTTTTTTTCTTTAGTTCTACGTAAACAGAGACTACTGTATGTTGTGTTAAAATTTACTGACATATGAACATCAAATACAAGTACTGGAAGATTTTAACTAACCTAACTACTAATTCATCATCTCCATTATTTCCTAATCAGCCTGCATAAGAGTCCTGTGGTCAAACTGAAAAGTACCTATTTTCTTTTCTTTTTAAAAGACATTCCTTTGCTTGACTGTTCTGCAAATTAAGAAAAGAAACTCTGTGGCAATGCTACAGAGTAAGATAGACTGTAGGTTTCTTTTCAGTTATCTTATTCTATAATACATCAGTATATATTTTCTGGAACAATAAATATGGAAACAAATCTAAGCTAAAGAAACAAGTATTTTCTTAGATATTTTAAACATTTCATACTAAAAAAATGAAGCCATTTGTTCTTAAATACTTAATGAGGCTATTTTTCAAAAAGTTTCTCTTGTATAGTAAGTCTGTAGCATCCTCACAAAAGCTGTGCAGTTTGAAGTGTCCAGACAGAAGCATGCAGTCAGTTCCAGCATAAAGATTAATAGCTTTAAGAGAGATTTACAAA